ATACCAGATTCGGTTCTTATCTTGTCGATTTCTTCCTATCTGCTTCTTTATCATTGTTATGGTTGTATGATTGTTAGTATTCTGGGTCTAACATTTGTTAGTCCCTGTTTCTGTAACAACAATGAATAACAATCTAACAACGAAGATTAAACGTAAGGATGAACACAGAATGAATCAACGTAAAACCTTCTTTGATAGACCGTGAACTCGTACAACACAAAAGTATGCGCGTAAGGCTATGAAGAATAAGTACGACGTTAACCTATTCCTAAACCCTCGGCTCCCTTTTTATAGGCGAGGTTTAGGTTAGGCGTACAAGGCTTTTAGCCTGTTTATATGGGCCTAACACTTGGCCCGATGGCTATCTAATTCATGCACTAATTAAATACAAGGATTAAATATAAAGCTAATCTATGACAAACTTGATTCACAATTAAATATCTCCAACAATCTCCCCCTTTGTGATCAAGTGCCATTCTCTTATTGCTTCTGCGACTTGAAGTAGTGCTTCCTCATACCAAGTGCATGTTCATATTGTCTCAGCGTATTTCTCTTTTCGAGGCGATCGTCAATGGCCTTTAAAATTGTCTCTACTGTAGAGTGTTCCTTTTGAACATAAGACGATGCCTCTTGAAGATTTTCCTCTAGCTCTGCCTTCATCTTCAGAATCTGTTCTTTGATTATCTTCAGTGTTCCGTCACAGTACTTCTCAATTTCACTGACTACCATCAGACGTTTTTCGTTCTTGTGGTTCAGATAGGTGACTGCTGGCGGTGTGAAGAAGATGTGGTAGGCTGGGAAGTCTTCAAGTTCTGGACCATACAGTCTTGGCTTTGTCAGATTTGTCTTTTTCAGATTGCACTCAATAGCCATCTGTAGGTCATGTGAAGAGTGTACTCGGATCTGTCTGAGCATGAATCTCTTGATAGCTGCGAGACCTTCGCTGTATATTATGCTCTGCCTGACTGGAAGGTATCTGTAGGCCATGAACATTTGATAGATGTCGTCCGGTTTCAGCATGATGAAATCGTTCTCTTGGCAAGTAAATTCGCTCCCATCAGTGCGTTGAAGTCTGTAAGTGTAGAATGTTACTCCATGATAATCTTCAGCCTTCACTGGTAGAATTTGATGAATCGGGAGAATATTTGACTTCAGATCTTGTTCCATCAGTTCTCTCTGTGTATCGGTTGACCTTTGTAGCAGCATATGCATATGACCTCCAGCCTGCTTTCCTTTTAAATGAGTAAGGCCTCTTAGCTTCAGTTCATTCAGCGGCTTGACTCTGTCTGGTCTACGCCAGATATGCTCTCTGATTCCTTCTTGGAAGGGAGCTTTGATGCGAACGTTATCCCAGGGTTTCTCTGTCTTGGGAAGTCTTCCCGCTGATTGTCTTACGACCGATTCAAGAGTCTTCTGGGATTCTTTGTAATTCTCCCCTTCCTTGCGTTCATCGTCCTCGAGTCTTATGATATCTTCAGAGCATCTGTTAATTAGCTCTCGTAGCCACCAATTTCTTTGCATGTCTTCTTGTTCGGCCTCATTCCGAAGATCATCCCATTCGGTCCATTGTCTCGACCATTTGTCATATATCACCGCCTCCTCCAGTGCATCATGGATGTCTTTGCCTGGGGATATGTATGGAACTCTTTGTTGCCTTTGAGGCGGTGATTGTTCCTGAGTAGCACTACCGGGTTCACTAGGATTGCCCGTTGACATCAGTTTAGAACTAGGTTCCAACTGATGGCCTGATGCAGAAGATGTACCAGTGGTAACATCATCAGGACTTCCATCCCCTCCTCGGTTGGTATCTCTTGGAGATACGCCTCGGGATGTTATTTCTAGCTCGACCATGCTAGATAAGTTGGCTGTGGGTGGTGGCTGTTGGTTTGTCGAGGTTTCGGGTTGAATGGGCTGTGGAGTTTGGCTTGGTAGGGCAGTTTGCTCAAGTGGTCGAGGTCGCTTGTTCTCCCCCTCATGAGGATCCGAATCATCGGGGTCCTCATGGGAACGTTTGCGACCACGAGGACTCTCCTTGCAAGTGCTCTTGGTTTCAGGTGAAGAAAGAAGGGCTTCAAGTATTGCTTGCTGATGAAGAGTAAGCTTGTCTTCAGGGATGTTTAGGAGGTTGTTCAGCAAAGCCGACGCTAGAGTGTCGAAGGATAGTGAGGAGAGATCGATGGAGGGTGTGGTCGGGTGTGGGGAGAATACTTGTTCTGTATCCTGGGTTCCCCGAGAAAGAGAAGGAATGGGAATTTGGTTTATGGATTGGTGGGATAGAGGGGTGGATGATACGGGTTGTGTATGAGAGATGAACGGTTCAGGTGAAGGTTGGGGTGGGGTTTGTTCAGACCGAACCGCTTGGGTGGTCCTAAATTCCTGTGCTAGAGCGGTCATTGCATCTTGCACCCATGGTTTAATGGTGGAATCTAGGAAGCGATTGAGTAGAACGTTTACGTCTTCAAAGGTAGGGTGACCAGTTACGGGGGTTGTAACTGTTGACACAGCATCAGTGAAGATTGCTGATGTGTGGCCTGCATTCAATGATGGAATCATTGTGGGCATAGCAGGGCTTCCAACCGTCATAGCTTGCGCTCTGGTTGTTGCGTTCAGGGTGTGTGCACCTGTATGTGCAGTGAATAGTGTAGGTGTCCTAGAAAATGAAGAAAATGTGGGGAATGTGACACCTAGACTCGATGTGTGAGAAGAAGGGGTTTTGACCTCGGGAGATAGGTCAATTGTACGCTCAACTGATTCAGAAGGAACCAGCGAGGGGGTGGAATCCCGTTCTTTTGAAACAATAGCCTGTTGAGAGGCTATCGAGTGGCTGGGAGATGGCTGTGCTTGCGCAGTTGAGCCAGATGCTGCGACTTCTACCCGGGAACCGAAAAGATCGGCTCCTGTGCTTAGGGATTCAGCTCGGCTTATCTGGATAAAGGTGTCGCAGCCCGCGAAGATATGCTCGTCTGCCTTATCAATCAGGCTCTTTCTGGCTCGGGGCTGGGGCTTTGCCTTGGCAGCCTTGTCATTCTTGACCTTTGCCCTTTTCTCCCGGATGACGACTTCCTCAGAATTCTTAATTGAATGAGCCACCTCGTCATAGTCGTCCTTGGAGCAATTTGTCTCGCTGGGATCGGCTCTCGGTTTAGCTTTTTCTTTGATTGTGAAGACTTGAGGTTTGCCAGCGATTATTGGTGTTGCGTCTACAGCAGTAATTCTTTTCTTCTTCGGAGATTCGACTGGCAGCTTCCCTTTTCTGATCAGAGCATATGTGAGCTCCACGTCATCACTGTCATTGTCATCGTCGTCATCATCCGAGCCAGATTCCCCGCTCTCTGTGCCCACGCTCTCGGAAGCCTCGTCGTCAGTGTTTGTTTGGGCTTCACTTGACGATTCATTGGCTGTTTCCTCAGCGTCTGTTTCGGTGCCCTCAGCCGCCTAACTCGTCTCTAGAGAGTCGTCAGACTTTCCTTCATTGGGCGAACCGGCCACTGGTTTCTGTGGCTTTTGGGCTCTCTTGGGACCCTTACCAACACTCGGCTTTGCCCCTGGGGTAGGTCCAGCTGGGTTTTGCTGAACCATAGGGACAGTTTTTTCCGTGGGCTTCCTTGTAACCCGTAAGTTAGCTAACTTCTCCTATAAAAGGAGGCTAACTTACGGGAACCCTAACTGATCGTTAGAGGCTTAGAGACGCAGAGGCGAGATAGAGAGAAATTAGGGTTGCCGCTGCTCTCCTTCTCCAGGGAGAGTAGCGGCAGGTTAATACGGTATACCAGATTCGGTTCTTATCTTGCCGATTTCTTCCTATCTGCTTCTTTATCATTGTTATGGTTGTATGATTGTTAGTATTCTGGGTCTAACAGAATCTTCACCAGAGGAAGAAGAACTGCCGGAAAGATCCTCCGTCTCCGCCCTAGTCTCTGCCGTCGCCGCATTGGAGTCATCAACAAAAGGGACGGTGATAACCTCCACATCACGGTCTTCCCCTTGGGAAGCCATTTCCGAATCGAAATGCAGTTGAGGACTCATACCGATCAGATTAAAGAAAATAGAGAATTAGAGGGATGATAAGTACCTGGACACGAAAGGCTTGAAGGGCTTGAAAGAAAAGGCAGAACAAAAGCACGAAGAGATTGAAAATTCGAAACCCGGATTCGAGGAGATAAAAACTAATTTATAGCCTGCGCCGTATCAAAGACCAATCAAATAGAGACACGTCACTTGAACCATTTGAAATAACACGTGTCGCATGGAAGAGCAAAGATCAACAATCATGACGAATATGGGAAAACTCAAGCGACAGCCGTCAAATCACAGTATGGGGAACTAACCATTTCTGTATTCCGAGCGCCATTCGACACTAATATTATGGCACTTACACTTCCTAATGCACTCACTGTCATTCGAGACATCGGAAGTGGGGGACTCGTGTTGGGATATCATGTAGCATATAAAAATTATATTTTCTTGCATAGCCTCCATATGTCCTAGATAAATAGTGTTGAGTACAAACCATATGTGACATGATAAAAATTCTATATTCTTGCAACTTGTATCATACTCTGATACATTTATAGAAATCTTTTTCTATAATGAGACTAGAAATCTTTTTCGCATGTGTGAAGAATCAATTTATAAAACTCAGTACTCAAACAACAACATTCTCTTTATGTGTAATCTACTGTTAAGTAGTTAAGCGGTGAAAAAATCCATTCTTGGTGTGTTAATTTAACATAGTTTTTATTCTTTCAAAAAAAATTAAACATAGTTTAGGTTTTGTCATGCCTAAACAAGCAATGAAAAGGATTCGTGCCTAAACAAGCAATGAAAAGGATTCATGCCTAAACAAGCAATAATAAGGATTTGTAAGCAATAATAAGGATTCGTGCTTAAACAAGCAATGAAAAGGATTTGTGCCTAAACAAGCAATGATAAGGATTCGTGCCTAAAGAAGCAGTATGTTTGAGTATTAATAATAGACAACTAATTTTTATGGAGAATATGTTTACATAACGAACAGAGTTGTCAATAATTCTACATTGCGTGAGTGTGAGTGCCATTTAAATTCTATTTTCTTGCAACTTGTATCATACTCTGATACATAGGTGACATGAACAGACGCATACGTATAAAATCCATATGCAGGTTATGCTAAATGATTCCCAAAGACGTAATAAAATTTGAGCCCTTTTGGTAAGGGTGAATTTGGCTTGAGTTGTGAAAGGGAGTCTAAAATATTTATACAATAATTCTACATGCATTTATCTTGTATACATGTTATGCTACATGATAAAAATTCTATTTTCTTGCAAATTGTATCATACTTTGATATATAGGTGATATGAACAGACACATAGGTATACAATCCATATACAGGTTATGCTAAACGATTCCCAAAGATGTAAAAAAATTTGAGCCCTTTTGGTAAGGGTGAATTTGGCTTGAGTTGTAAAAGGGGGCCTAAAATATTTATACAATAAAAGTGCAACACATTGGGTAAGGGTGAATTTGGCTTAAATGTTTTAATGAAGTTGCTTAGAGTATTTAAATTGTAACGGAGTGACAGATAGTGATGATGTTTAGAAAAACTATAAAGAAAACAGAATACATTTTATTGATTAAATGCTAAAATGATCAAATTCAACAGCTTCAAGGTCACTCAACTTTGTCTCCGAGTCGTCGTCGTCATCAAAGATCAGCGCCTTGAGAAAGTCCACAAAGCACAGCCGGTGAACACCCATGACCATGGAAGCAACCGAACATCTGGTAGAGTCCAGATACCTCCACAGCCTGTGGTGGGTGCACAGGTTGTGGTAGATCACACACTTTGAATAAATGAAAGAAAAAACTCTACCTTTGTCAAAGTAGAGAATGATAACCTAGACTCTAGAGCGATGATCACAACAGTGAGCACGCAATGGAATGCGTGCACACCAACCTCGATGAGCTCAAACGCCCATCTGATGTCATGGTCGCCCAGCTTCCTCAGCCCCAGCTCGAGTTGAACCCCCAGAATAAGGGATAACAAACAGGTGCAAAAAAAAAAACAACCAAAAGTCACCAACTACATGTTACCATTATTAGGGTTGTTACCATTATTAAGACTAATTTAATATAATGATTTTGTGTCCATGTTCCAAAACATTGATTATTCAGGAAAGCTATGGTGAGTTCAGTCTGTTAAATGAGGTTGTTGGAAATCTCATTATCCAGGTAACAATTTTATCTAAAATAGATGAATACATGTATTTATTGGATTTGATAAATATAAATTGTTGCATTATGAGACTAGAAATCTTTTTCACAAGTGTGAAGAATCAATGTATAGAACTCGGTACTCAAACAACAACGTACATCCGCTTGATGTGTAATCTTCATATGGTATACAATCCATATGCAGGTTATGCTAAATGATTCCCAAAGACGTAATAAAATTTGAGCCCTTTTAGTTGCACATAATTCTTGTAAATGTTAACTGTTCGAATATGCTCTTCTCATTCCATAAATAGACCAGTGACTTTTCCTTTTGTTTTAATTTAATGCTTTTAATTATATGATTCATGGGTCTCCTTTTGCAGGTGTTATGCTATTAGTATGGACAAACCTAGAGAGCTCAGGAGGTTAGGTGTGAGCCATTATAAAAGGTTTCCAAAAACTTTTTATAAGACTTCTCAATTCCCTGTATTGCAAGTGGGTAAACTATTATATGTAATACATATCAACTTAGGGAACTAACAGAAGAAAATGGAGGGGAAATGGTTGAGCAAACCTGAAGTTAATGCATACTGTCCTTAACATAGAACTACTACTATATTTTATTTTATTTTGCCTGGCATTTAATCAAGCTTGGTTCTCAACCGTGGTTGATATATACCTCCTATAGCGAGTTCTTAGATGTTTGGTGAAAAAAAGTGAAGTGACAATCTGTAGTTTCAGCTTCATCTTTTAATGCTAATAAGTCTGTTTAAAATTAGTTATGTGGAACCCTTATTGAATTGGGTTGGACCTCACTTGGTGTTTGTGAATTATCCATGTGGGAGTTTAATATTTTGTGTTTCACACAGATGAATGAGATGATTGTATGAAAAGGTTGTATAGTTTTAATGGAAGACAAATAATTTAAAATTATAGAAGCACTGTTTACTATAGTTGAGGAGTACTCATATTTGAAACCATTGTGCTTCAGGTTTTCCATTCTATTTAGACTGTTTTCTTACTATAGTAAGTGTTGGAACAACACTTGGATATTTACTTATTTTGGTAGCGTCTTGTAATGAAATACACTTAATAATTAGCCAAAATTTCAAAAACAAAACCAACATTGATTGGGGTTTCCAAGGAGCTAAGGAAGAAGCAATTAGTAACGACGCTTGCCGCTTGGCCGCCTGCTGCCCTGCACCCTGCCCCTACTCGCCCTTCTCGAATATCAGAAATTCAGAATTTCGGCTACCCGCTTCTCAGAATTTCAGTCTCTCAGTCCCGGCGTCCAGCTCGAACTCTCCAAGGCTTCACGAGTTCAGGTACGCCTCCGGCCATTGTTGTATAGAATTACAGTTTTATGCTTTTTCTTTTATTGATTAATTGATTATTTCATTAAAATGCAGGCCCGGCCCATGTGCATAGGGCCTCCAATTTTTATTAACCCAGTAGTATACCTAGGCCCATTAGGTAAAAAATTACTGTATTTCGATGAGACGATTGACGATTCGAGTGGCTACAGAAATGTTAAATTTAAATGTTAAATACTATCATCTCGTATACTATAATCCGCTGGGAAGAACATTGCTAGGAGTACCTGAGATTTCCAGAATTTCCAAATTTTCATCTACTGGATTTCCTCTTCTTCAATCTTCTTCAGCCGCCCACTTCTGACTTGCGTGGCTGCCATAGAGACCTACGAATTGTGAAGGCGATTACAACTAGCCAAGGCGGCCGCCGGCCAGATTCCAGAAGCGAGGTTGTTAGGGCCACAAGGGATAGGCTGGATGGCTACCGATAACTCGGCAAGGTAGCAAAAGCTAAAAGCCCTACCACTTGTTCAAGTTTTTTTTTTGTTCCCACTTTTCCTTTAGTTGATTATACGATTATTGTTTACTTTTTAATTTTGAATTCTTCTACATGTTTTAAATTACTCCGGCAGAATTTAGAAATTCATAATGACTCCTAGAATCAGAAAATACTATCCAAGAGTTGTAGACAAAAGAACTGTTTTGATACTAGATTAATATGAAAAATTGAATTTCTAAGAGTTATAGAATCAGAAACTACTATCCAGAAAATACAGGATATGAAAAATTGTAGACAAAATAACTCGAGAGTTGATACTATCCAAAAAGTACTGTATATTGTTATAAAATTTGATATGTGGTACAAACTATAAGTTTTTATTTACCATTAGCATTGTTTTGGTATTGAATAATGGGGCCTCTGATTTTATTTTGAACAGGGCCTTCAATTTGTTAAGGCTGGCCCTGTTAAAATGAATATATGATTATTTGATTAGTTTATGAATGGATAAATTGATTTAATTCATGGTTGTTTCATGTTTATAAATGATTATGAATAGTTGAAAAATAATTAGTCTGTTGTTTGGATGTTGAGCGTCAATTCATATTCTTAATTGTTGATTGTTATTATTGAGTGTTGATGTTATATTTTATTGATTTTTTTTGAGAGTTATATTTTGTTTATTTTGTTAGTTATAAAATTTCAATTATAATAAAAATAGCTGAATCTGGATTGGAGAAAAAAGAGAGGAGAAGATTAGAGAAAACAACATTTTCATTCATTCATTTCATTCATTTTCATTTACCCCAGTGTCGCAAAGGCTCCCACCTACTGTGGGGTAAGGGGGGTCGGATGTACACAGTCTTACCCCTGTACTAAAGAACAGAGAGATTGTTTTTGGATGACACATAGTGAAAATCGCGTCCAAAATTGCATGGACTGACTGCTGCTCCATAACAAAGAAGCGCAGACAGTTTAGTGAGCCATTTTGCTTTATTCCATCATAATCTCAAGTCGAAAAATAATGAATTTTTGGCTCCATTGCAAATGATGGAAATAAGATTAGAGAAAACAACACTAAATAAAAAAGGTTCAATGGAAAAGTTTATTTTGTGAACAAGTCAATTCTTGAAGGTTCTCTTCAAGATGAGAACTCACAGGAGGAGAATGCTTTAGCTACCGAAAATGAAACGGTTTCACGGGAGGGGAAAATTTAAGAGTTATAAAATTGGTAGTGAGCAGCCAAAAAATGATTTTGAAAGTGTGATAGCACTTATTTAACGAATTCAAGTATTTTCATTATTGTAAAGGTATTGAAGTGTTATTATTTTGCATGTTAATTTAGATGGAAAAGATTACAATTTCTTTGGATTAAGCCTATTTTATATAATCTGCCACTCTCAATTATATAGGACCGCCCCTTGCACCAAGAACCATACTATTGATCTAGAGGAGCAGGCTATGAGGAATTCGACTGATAAACAGATGCTCTTGTATGAGGGGAATCAAGAGAGACCAAGGATAGCTATAAAAGATTATCTGAGCGATCATATAAAGAAAAAGTACCAAAAGCTAGAGTATAGTGGGACAGGACGTGTTAATCGCCTAGACTGGTCGGACGATGAAATCAAGACTCTCGAGTTTCTTGAAGTGTCGAGCTATAGACATCTCAATGAAGGGAATAAAGTTGTTGTTTTAAAGTTGGCAATGTCTGCACTAACTGATGCAGTGAGTGCTGCTTCTGTAGGAGCAATACTATCAGTAGCTTGGCAATTGGCTTCATGTGAAGATGAAAAAAGGCTTATTTTCTTTGATTCAAAGATGATGACTTGCACCCCAAAGCCAATGCAGAATTTGGAGGCTCGAGTGATTAGAGAAGCTAAGCTACTGATCGTAAGCCGTTTGAGATGCCTCCTCATCTGACACATAAGGATATCGAAAAGTGCTGTGCATATATGTGCACTGCTTTGCTGAGGTTAGCTGTCAAGGATGAGGACAATCTTATACGAGCATGGGATTATATCTGTGACCAATACAGAAACTTTTATCGAGATGAAATTGCATTTCGAATTACACCTGATCGAGAATGCATCGCTGGCATAAGGAATCTGTTGCAGACAAGAACTCTTCTCCGAAATACTGTAGGAGTATTTCTGTTAGCTTTTCAAGAGTTGGAAGGCAAAGACAAAAACCTGTGCAAAATGTTGTATGAGGTACAGATGTGTTATGTCGGCATTCATGCTTATAGTCTGTTGCTGTATTGCTCCGCCAGATTAAATGCACCCATCAGTGAGTTTGCCACTTTGCTTGAGCATCCTAATACAAGTAAATCATTGGAAACTGTGCTTTATATACTTACCCATTATGAGTTCCCCAGTGAAGAGAGTAAAGAGATGGCAGAAAAAGCAAAGACTTGGAGGTATGCTCGTCTTTTCAACAGTGATATATTTAGAGATATTCAAACAATGAATTGTCGTATGCTAGCAGGAGTTCTCGCAATGGTGTCCCACAAGATTGGCGGAGGAGGATTTGGAGATGTAACAAAAATAAGACCAATTTCTGGGCTTATAACTCAACAAAGAAAGTGGTTTGAGTTCGTTGCTGATAATGTAATTGCACATTGCTACGCTGCTGGATGGGTTAAGGGGAGAACTAGTAAAGTACTTGTGAAGTCTTAAGATCAAGTATTCTTCATTTTGTAATTTATTTAATCGTATCATCTAATAATAAGTAATAAATATTCTATGGGGAAGATCAAGTACTCATCTATTTTATACTCCGTAATAACACACACATTTACTTACGGGATTGTGCCATAATTGATTAAGAATAAAATGGTTCTTATGTCTTCGCCCTAAAAATACTGTTATTAATGCTTAGTAAATACTCCCTCCGTCCTGAAAAGGTTGGCCAAATTTCCTTTTTTGGATGTCCCAAAAAGATTTGTCATATCCATTTAAAGTAAGGAATATGTGGTTAAAATTAATTCTCGATCATCTGCATAAATTTCAACCATACAGTTTTTACTTTATTAATCCACGTAAAAATCAACTTTGGCAAACCTTTTCGGGACAGAGGGAGTACTGTAATGTTGATATCGCGTGATGAATTGCGTATTAATCGAAATAGGTAAGACTGATATTACTTTTTCAAATGAATTGCCTAAAATTATGTAGAACATTATTTTAATCAATTTTTTTCGTTTCAAAATACATTTTAAATATAATTTTTCTACAATTCAAATATAGTAGATTTACTTGATGAATCAAATGCATTGATAATGAAACACTACATCAAGCATTAGATAAACTAAATTAATCAAATGAGAGACCATACCTTTTACTCCTCCGTATATTAGACGTAGTACAAAATAAGAAATCGCGACGCGAGCACAACACATGTTACACAAAATCATCCCAAATTATACTATACACCTAAGTGTACATGTACATTCAATATTTTTGTAATTCTTTATAACATTCAGTCCAATTATTATAGATCTTTGAACTTCTGCACTTGCTCTCACGATGTTGCTCGGTTGCTCTTGCTCCCTGCATACCTGGATTTCTCCATTCTATTTTTTGTCTTTATTTCAATAATTATAAATTCTTTCCAAAACTGACTCCATTTGAATGCTGAAAACATTAAAGGTAACAATAATCTAATTGAAACATCTTCATCATTCTATTTAACTAGTAATGATCTAATAGCTTCATTAGAGTAATTATCTTCTAAATATTAATGCCCACCAGCGGTTCGTAAAAATTTTGAAGTGAGTTTTTGTTCATGTTTTGAGCAAATTTCGAAATAATTTATTTTGCATAGTTGTTCTTTTTTTGCATTGAATTAAATAGCTTTTATGCTACTTGAATTAAGGGATTCTTGATTTCGTTTGTTATTTTCTAAGTTTTATATTTAAACAATTTGGTATTAGATTTCATGTTTGGTTTGTATGTATTGGATCCAACTACTAATGATTCTTATGTGATATTTAGTCACGGATGTAGTCCGTGACTAAAGTGTTCCGGCCAACCCAATTTCGTCTCCGGCGGGATTTTTTAAAAATTTGAAATTAGTCAGGGATGGTTCCGTGACTAGTGCCGTCACTACAGTTAGTCACGGATACGTCCGTGACTAATTCCGTGACAAGTGCAAAATTGATTTTTTCAACGTTCCAAATTTAAAGTGCTCTGACAAATCGTACCAAAAATGTGGGGAAAATCATCAAAATACGGGCTTTTCCCGTCTGACAATCCAAAAAGCGGGAGTTGCAATTAGGTTACCAAAATACGGGAGTCGGATTCGCCCGTTCCGACAGGAGGGGAAGCTCGAAATTAGGTTAAATAAATAAATAAACACCATGTCGGAATTGGGTAATCCGACATGAGGGTTTCTAATAAATTTTTATTGTTTGATATGGAATAAAATGTGGTCGTCCAATGTAATTGTACCTTTTTAAAATTACAATGAGAAAGCATCTATGCGAATTCATCTACGGGTATTTATAAAACAATTTTTTAAAAAATTTTAATGCTGTCGGATCTTCAAAATCCGACTGGAGGAATTGCTAGGCTTTGGTTCTTCTCACTAGAGTAGTCCGTTTACCGCCCTCCGATTGCGATCCAAGCCCCTCCTCTTTTGTTAACAGCCGTGCGATAGGGATTCAAGCCCTTATTGTGTTTCTTTGGTGGTTTAGAGTTTAATTTTGTATAGATATGGAACAAATATGGAATTATCTAATTAAATTTATGTGATCTGATTGAACTTATCTGATTATATTTACTACCTCCATCCCTTAAAACTTTGCCAAAGTTGACCGGCACAGAGAATAATAAAGTAAAAATTGTGTGGTTTGGTTTTGTGCAGAGGAGAGAGAAATAACAGAAACCACAAAATGATTGATTAAAAACGAAAGTGGCAAAATTTTGGGACGTCCCAAAAAGGAAAGATGTCAGAGTTTTAAGGGACGGAGGGAGTATGTGATTAAATTTTATCTGATTATATTTATCTGATTGAACTTATCTGATTATATTTATCTCATTAAATTTTATCTGATTGAACTCATCTGATTATATTTATATGATTACATTTTATCTAATTAAATTTATATGATTATATTTATTTGATTAAATTTTATCTGACTGAACTTATCTGATTATATTTATTTGATTAAAGTTTATCTAATTATATAGTGGCTACAGAGTGAATTCCCGTTGTTCGATTGTGCGGGACAATAGTTGTGTGATGTGTACGCTGTGACCGCTCAAGAATATCCTTCCATATGTCACGGAGTTTTGTCACGGATACGGGCCGTGACAAAGTTGTCACAGGCTTTGTCACGGAATTGTCACGGAAAAGTTTGTCACGGAAAACTTTTTTCACAGATTCAGTCCGTGACAAATTGCCTATGGTGACCGGTAATTTATGTGATTAAAATTTATCTGATTGAATCTATCTGGTAAAATTTTAGCTAATTGAATTTATCTAATAACATTTTATCTGATTAAATTTTATCTGATTCAATGTATCTGATTAACAATATCTTAAGACACAATGGGAAAGATGTGTACCAATATGACATTAGTAATTTGATTCAATACAAATATCCAACAGACTATACACAACAAAATTACTCGGGTCCTCTCCTTCTGGTGGTGGTGGTGGTGGTGGCGGTGGTGGTGGTGGTGGTGGTGGTGGTGGCAGCGGCGGCGGTGGCGGCGGCGATGGCGGTGGCGGCGGCGATGGCGGTGGCGGCGTCGGAGGCGGAGGAGGAGGAGGAGGAGGAGGAGTAAGAGTAGTAGTAGCAGTAGCAGTAGCAGCAGGAGGAGGAGTAGTAGCAGTAGTAGTAGTAGTAGCAGCAGCAGTAGTAGGAGTAGTACTAGTAGCAGCAACAGTAGGAGTAGTAGTAGTAGCAGCAGCAGTATGAGTAATAGTAGGAGGAGGAGGAGGAGGAGGAGGAGGAGGAGGAGTAATATTAGTAGTAGTAGTAGGAGTAGTAGAAGTAGTAGTAGTAGCAGCAGCAGTAAGAGGAGTAGTAGTAGTAGTAGTAAAGTTGAACATGCACTTTCTCTTTTGCTAGATATCTCTTGAATGCTTAGTAAGATTTTCTCTACTTAGAAGGCTCAAAAACTTACTTAGAACTCATGCTTCAGACGTTGGTTAAGATGAGTCAATCTCCTAAAACACCGTGCCAAAAGCAAATGTCAAGATTCAATCGAGACAGCCAACAAATACTCTGTATAACCTATAACCTATATTAGACTATTAGTATGGGACTCATGATAGTAAAATCACCCTTTTCTTTAACACTACAAAAAAACACGCCGTTTGTCACGGACGGTAGTTCAAAAAATCCGTGACAAATGATTTTTTGTCACAGATTTGTCACGGAAAAAATCCGTGACACCAGGGGCTTGATAACGTTTTTGTCACGAAAATTAATCCGTGAGACTGTTTGTCACGGATTTGTCACGGCCACCGTCCGTGACAAAACACTTCACCGGAACCCCATCGTCTTTCATTTGTCACGGACGCATCCATGAATAAATTTTTTTATTTTTCAAAAAAAAATAATTATTTGTCACGGAAATTTCCGTGACAAATTTTAAAAAAGGTTTTTCAAAATAGAGTGGGCGGGTATTTGAAACTGTCCGGAAAATTCAAATTTTAAATTTTGTCATGGAAATATCCGTGACAAAATATTTTGAAAAAAATTTGAAAATTTTAAAATAGAGTGGGCGGGTGCTTTAAAAATTTCAAAAAAATTCAAAATTTTGAATTTGTCACGGATCCCATCCGTGACAAAACATTTTTTTTTTAAAAAATACGTTGTATTCAGCGTTTTATGTATTTAGAATAAAATGAATTTATATTTTGTCACGGAACAGTCCGTGACAAAAGTTTAATTTTTTTTAAAAAAAAATTTAAAAATTCAGCGCATTTTTAAAAGTTTATTTCAAAAGTTTATTTAATAAATAATAACCATTAAAATTTAGGCGCTTTTTCAAAAATTTAAACTTAATAAGCATTGTTTTTAATAAATAGTTAAACAATAATCTTAATAAATAATTGTTTATAATAAATAATTAAACAATCATCATTAATCATCATTAATCACCATTACACATTAGGTATCATAATAAATAATAATCTAATCAAACCATCATTATAAAACACAAATAATTAATATTCATACATTAACACATCAAAATTTAAAAATCCTTAAAATGTTAATAAACTAATTATTACAAACCATCAATGGTCATCATAATCAGCATCAGCATCATCAGGTTCGTCACGATGATCGGGTTGCCTTCCGTGGCCACGGCTGTCACCACGATGGCTGCCTCGACTGCCACTGCGGCTGCCAGCACGGCTGCTGCCACGGTAAGCTTGAGCTCCGAGAGTCGGGATATCATCATAATATCCATATGGAAAGTTGTTGGAGATATGACTATAATTAGCAAAACCCCTACTGCCCATACTGCCCATGTTGCCCATATTACCCATATTGCCCATATTGCCCGCGAAGGGAACTTGTGGGGTCATCTCGGGGTGCTGTATGTGCATGGATGGACGGTAGGTGGCGTTGAAAATACGCATTTGGCGTTCCATCTCTTCCAACCTTTCTCTTGTTCTTCTTTGCTCTTCATCCCGTATCCGAGCTTCTTCATCCCGCCTTCGAGCCTCGGCTTCACGTTCCTCCAATAGTTTCTCGAGGCGGGTAACCCGATCATCATATGCCGAATGAGAAGATGAGCTAGCTCCTTTGGCCTTCTCTAGGATCCGTACGCCTTCAGAACCCATAAGCGGCACCCGGCCCTTGTAAACTCCGGTTGCCGCCAAGATGGCCTCATATTCTTGATTTTCATCAAGTTCGTCATCAGAATCAGCCAGCTCATCAACTCTCTTCCCCCGCTCTTCCTCATATTTTTTCTACAAGTTCAAAAATTTATTATATAAGAGATAAAAAAAAATCGAAATTTATTGAATTATGTTTCATTATTTACTTCAATTTCAGAAAGGCGGGGAGGCGGCATGGCACCCTTCTTCGTCCAGCAATGTGCCATGAGTTTCAATGGCGTGACCCGTTTTTTCACGGGTCCAGATCCTTCCTACACGGATTTCAAAGTTAATAAAAAAATATATACATAAATGTATGGAATGGAAATAATTTTAACTAATTAGAGTTTACCAGATCTTTTTTATGTTGAATTTGGGGTTTGCGGCCCCCGTGCCATTGAACTTCCTTGGCTTTCTCGGAGTTCCGGTTTGCCTTGGCCGTTTCGCTTCTCAGCAAAAATGAGGCATCCGTAGCCCAGTGGCGGCAAAGCATCTCCCACACATCATCGCCAAGGAATTTTGGCGTTTTACCCGTAGACCGGGCAGTCCTAAAAGTGGGTCTCAACCACCCAGAAATCCTAGAATTGTATTCTTTGAGAATAGCTTGGTCTAGGGCAAAATGCCAACGATGGGAAGCCTTCATGAAAAACATTGATATATCATCATTTCTTAAATTTAAGTTATTAAAATGTAACAAAAAAATGTATTTTTACCTTGAACAACCGCCACCATAGTTCACGAGTGGCCGCCGGAACCTCACCATAAGTCGACCACGGCCCGGTGAAATGACCACAAACCGTAACCTCACCATAAGTCGGCCACCATAGTTCACGAGTGCAATGACAAAATATATTTACAGTTTATTACATCTTGTATTTTGTATTATTTATAAAAAACAGTTTTCTAAATCAGTTTATGGAGTTTTTGTGTGGTATAATGGTTTAAACTTATTAGTTTCCTATTTATTTATCAAACTTTGAAATATAGAACATATTAAACTTGAGTTTAATACGAGGTGTAGAATGAGTTTTTTGTATGATTTTTATGTTATTGAATTTAATTGTGTTACGTATTTATCAATCTTTGAAATATAGAACATATTAAACTTGAGTTTAATATGAGGGGTAGGATGAGTTTTTTGTATGATTTTTATGTTATTGAATTTAATTGTGTTAGGTATTAATTTATAAAAACAGTGACCTGATTTTTAAAATCTATAAAATCAATTTTTTCAAAAAAATTTTAAAAATCAGTTTCATTTTTTGTTTATTCATGAAACCTATAAAATCAATTTTTCATGAAACATATGAAATCATTTTCGTATTATATAAACAAAAACAGTTTGTTTGGTTTTCTATTTCTATTTTAATATATAAAATACATTTTTTTACTTCATTTCTGTTTTATGTTTTTTATGAAACAACGTTTTATTTAAAATAAAATATTATAATATCCGAAATTATTTAAAAAACAGTTAAATAATCCGAAATTTTTTAAAGTGTTTTATAATATTAAAAAAATAATATAATATCCGAAATATTATAAAAAAAATAATTAACAGTTTCATTATTTTGTTGGGTTAGACATGTTAACTTTTTTGAAAGTGTAACATGAGGGGGTGAAAATTAATGGAGTTGAAATTATTATTCTTAATAAATATCCGAAATTAACAAAAACTCAAAAATAACCTTGACTAAATATTTAATAATTAACTATTCTAAAGCAGGCATTTTTAAATTAACAATATCTAAGGCATATTTAAAGCATATAAACAAATGATATACACATATTATGAAACGATAAATCTAAAGCAGGCATTTTTAAATTAAGAGAATGCATATGAATATAGGAACAATAAAATCACGAGCATGCATATGAATATGCGGAAACATATAAACATTAAAACAATATAAAGAAAAACATGCATTAAATAATTAAATTTACGAGCATGCATATGAATATTAAGAAGAACATATAAACATGCATGAATATTAAGAAAAACATGCATTAAATAATTCAAAACATGCAATAATATTGCGAGCATGCATATGAATATTCGGAAACATATAAACATTAAAACAATATTAAGAAAAACATGCATTAAATAATTAAATTTACGAGCATGCATATGAATATTAAGAAAAACATATAAACATGCATGTATATTAAGAAAAACATGCATTAAATAATTAAAACATGCAATAAAATTTCGAGCATGCATATGAATATTCGGAAAAATGTAAACATTAAACATATACACATATTCAATGCATGATAACTTATTAACATATACACATTAAATTAAACAATTAAACAATATTAAGAAAAACATGCATTTTATTTTTGGCATTTTAAAACATTTATTCTAAAATATTCGGAAATTAAAGAGTTAGAAACATAACCTCGGAGAAGAAGGCAAGAAATTAAAGGGAAAGAAGAGAAGGCCGGCTTCGAAGAACGGCGGCAGGGGTGGAGATAATCCACGGTGGCCGGTGAGATGTGTGCGGCGGCGGTCGGCGGGTGTAAGAGAGGCAGAAGGGCGGCGGTCGGTGGGTGTATTAGAGGCAGAACGGCGTTTGGGAGGGTGGCGGTCGGCGGGTGTAGGAGGCAGAAGTTTTTAACGTAACCCTATATATGTCCCGGTTCGCTTGAGGTGACACCTCAATAAAAAACTAACATTCTCTAATATAAAATAGTATAATCTCTATATCTAAGAATTAATACAATTGTTTTTATCAATTATCAATTTTTTGAAGCGATTCCGAGGTCTTGAATAGAATCAAGTCTATTGTTTGTGGTCATTTCACCGGGCCGTGGTCGACTTATGGTGAGGTTCCGGCGGCCACTCGTGAACTATGGTGGCGGTTGTTCAAGGTAAAAATAAATTTTTTTGTTACATTTTAATAACTTAAATTTAAGAAATGATGATATATCAATGTTTTTCATGAAGGCTTCCCATCGTTGGCATTTTGCCCTAGACCAAGCTATTTTCAAAGAATACAATTCTAGGATTTCTGGGTGGTTGAGACCCACTTTTAGGACTGCCCGGTCTACGGGTAAAAAGCCAAAATTCCTTGGCGATGATGTGTGGGAGATGCTTTGCCGCCACTGGGCTACGGATGCCTCATTTTTGCTGAGAAGCGAAACGGCCAAGGCAAACCGGAACTCCGAGAAAGCCAAGGAAGTTCAATGGCACGGGGGCCGCAAACCCCAAATTCAACATAAAAAAGATCTGGTAAACTCTAATTAGTTAAAATTATTTCCATTCCATACATTTATGTATATATTTTTTTATTAACTTTGAAATCCGTGTAGGAAGGATCTGGACCCGTGAAAAAACGGGTCACGCCATTGAAACTCATGGCACATTGCTGGACGAAGAAGGGTGCCATGCCGCCTCCCCGCCTTTCTGAAATTGAAGTAAATAATGAAACATAATTCAATAAATTTCGATTTTTTTTTATCTCTTATATAATAAATTTTTGAACTTGTAGAAAAAATATGAGGAAGAGCGGGGGAAGAGAGTTGATGAGCTGGCTGATTCTGATGACGAACTTGATGAAAATCAAGAATATGAGGCCATCTTGGCGGCAACCGGAGTTTACAAGGGCCGGGTGCCGCTTATGGGTTCTGAAGGCGTACGGATCCTAGAGAAGGCCAAAGGAGCTAGCTCATCTTCTCATTCGGCATATGATGATCGGGTTACCCGCCTCGAGAAACTATTGGAGGAACGTGAAGCCGAGGCTCGAAGGCGGGATGAAGAAGCTCGGATACGGGATGAAGAGCAAAGAAGAACAAGAGAAATGTTGGAAGAGATGGAACGCCGAATGCGTATTTTCAACGCCACCTACCGTCCATCCATGCACATACAGCACCCCGAGATGGGCAATATGGGCAATATGGGCAGTATGGGCAGTAGGGGTTTTGCTAATTATAGTCATATCTCCAACAACTTTCCATATGGATATTATGATGATATCCCGACTCCCGGAGCTCAAGCTTACCGTGGCAGCAGCCGTGCTGGCAGCCGCAGTGACAGTCGAGGCAGCCATCGTGGTGGCAGCCGTGGCCACGGAAGGCAACCCGATCATCGTGACGAACCTGATGATGCTGATGCTGATTATGATGACCATTGATGGTTTGTAATAATTAGTTTATTAACATTTTAAGGATTTTTAAATTTTGACGTGTTAATGTATGAATATTAATTATTTGTGTTTTATAATGATGGTTTGATTAGATTATTATTTATTATGATACCTAATGTGTAATGGTGATTAATGATGATTAATGATGATTGTTTAATTATTTATTATAAACAATTATTTATTAAGATTATTGTTTAACTATTTATTAAAAACAATGCTTATTAAGTTTAAATTTTTGAAAAAGCGCCTAAATTTTAATGGTTATTATTTATTAAATAAACTTTTGAAATAAACTTTTAAAAAAGCGCTGAATTTTTAAATTTTTTTTAAAAAAAATTTAAACTTTTGTCACGGACTGTTCCGTGACAAAATATAAATTCATTTTATTCTAAATACATAAAACGCTGAATACAACGTATTTTTTAAAAAAAAAATGTTTTGTCACGGATGGGATCCGTGACAAATTCAAAATTTTGAATTTTTTGAAAATTTTAAAGCACCCGCCCACTCTATTTTAAAATTTTCAAATTTTTTTCAAAATATTTTGTCACGGATATTTCCATGACAAAATTTAAAATTTGAATTTTCCGGACCGTTTCTAATACCCGCCCACTCTATTTCGAAAAACCTTTTTTTAAATTTGTCACGGAAATTTCCGTGACAAATAATTATTTTTTTTTGAAAAATAAAAAAATTTATTCACGGATGCGTCCGTGACAAATGAAAGACGATGGGGTTCCGGTGAAGTGTTTTGTCACGGACGGTGGGCGTGACAAATCCGTGACAAACAGTCTCACGGATTAATTTTCGTGACAAAAACGTTATCAAGCCCCTGGTGTCACGGATTTTTTCCGTGACAAATCCGTGACAAAAAATCATTTGTCACGGATTTTTTGAACTACACTCCCTGACAAAATCTGTGACAAACGGCGTGTTTTTTTGTAGTGTTAAAGAAAAGGGTGATTTTACTATCATGAGTCCCATACTAATAGTCTAATATAGGTTATAGGTTATACAGAGTATTTGTTGGCTGTCTCGATTGAATCTTGACGTTTGCTTTTGGCACGGTGTTTTAGGAGATTGACTCATCTTAATCAACGTCTGAAGCATGAGTTCTAAGTAAGTTTTTGAGCCTTCTAAGTAGAGAAAATCTTACTAAGCATTCAAGAGATATCTAGCAAAAGAGAAAGTGCATGTTCAACTTTACTACTACTACTACTAAGCTACTACTACTACTCCTCTTACTGCTGCTACTACTACTACTTCTACTACTGCTGCTACTACTACTAATATTACTCCTCCTCCTCCTCCTCCTGCTGCATTCAAGAGATTTACTCGTACTGCTTCTGCTACTACTACTACTCCTACTGTTGCTGCTACTAGTACTACTCCTCCTACTGTTGCTGCTACTACTACTACTGCTACTACTCCTCCTCCTGTTGCTGCTACTGCTACTACTACTACTCTTACTCCTCCTCCTCCTCCTCCTCCGCCTCCGCCGCCGCCACCCGCCATCGCCGCCGCCACCACCGCCGCCGCCGCTGCCGCCACCACCACCACCACCGCCGCCACCACCACCACCACCACCACCAGAAGGAGAGGACCCGAGTAATTTTGTTGTGTATAGTCTGTTGGATATTTGTATTGAATCAAATTACTAATGTCATATTGGAACACATCTTTCCCATTGTGTCTTAAGATATTGTTAATCAGATACATTGAATCAGATAAAATTTAATCAGATAAAATGTTATTAGATAAATTCAATTAGCTAAAATTTTACCAGATAGATTCAATCAGATAAATTTTAATCACATAAATTACCGGTCACCATAGGCAATTTGTCACGGACTGAATCTGTGAAAAATGTTTTCCGTGACAAACTTTTCCGTGACAATTCCGTGACAAAGCCTGTGACAACTTTGTCACGGCCCGTATCCGTGACAAAAATCCGTGACATATGGAAGGATATTCTTGAGCGGTCACAGCGTACACATCACACAACTATTGTCCCGCACAATCGAACAACGGGAATTCACTCTGTAGCCACTATATAATTAGATAAACTTTAATCAAATAAATATAATCAGATAAGTTCAGTCAGATAAAATTTAATCAAATAAATATAATCATATAAATTTAATTAGATAAAATGTAATCATATAAATATAATCAGATGAGTTCAATCAGATAAAATTTAATGAGATAAATATAATCAGATAAGTTCAATCAGATAAATATAATCAGATAAAATTTAATCACATACTCCCTCCGTCCCTTAAAACTCTGACATCTTTCCTTTTTGGGACGTCCCAAAACTTTGCCACTTTCGTTTTTAATCAATCATTTTGTGGTTTCTGTTATTTCTCTCTCCTCTGCACAAAACCAAACCACACAATTTTTACTTTATTATTCTCTGTGCCGGTCAACTTTGGCAAAGTTTTAAGGGATGGAGGTAGTAAATATAATCAGATAAGTTCAATCAGATCACATAAATTTAATTAGATAATTCCATATTTGTTCCATATCTATACAAAATTAAACTCTAAACCACCAAAGAAACACAATAAGGGCTTGGATCCCTATCGCACGGCTGTTAACAAAAGAGGAGGGGCTTGGATCGCAATCGGAGGGCGGTAAACGGACTACTCTAGTGAGAAGAACCAAAGCCTAGCAATTCCTCCAGTCGGATTTTGAAGATTCGACAGCATTAAAATTTTTTAAAAAATTGTTTTATAAATACCCGTAGATGAATTCGCATAGATGCTTTCTCATTGTAATTTTAAAAAGGTACAATTACATTGGACGACCACATTTTATTCCATATCAAACAATAAAAATTTATTAGAAACCCTCATGTCGGATTACCCAATTCCGACATGGTGTTTATTTATTTATTTAACCTAATTTCGAGCTTCCCCTCCTGTCGGAACGGGCGAATCCGACTCCCGTATTTTGGTAACGTAATTGCAACTCCCGCTTTTTGGATTGTCAGACGGGAAAAGCCCGTATTTTGATGATTTTCCCCACATTTTTGGTACGATTTGTCAGAGCACTTTAAATTTGGAACGTTGAAAAAATCAATTTTGCACTTGTCACGGAATTAGTCACGGACGTATCCGTGACTAACTGTAGTGACGGCACTAGTCACGGAACCATCCCTGACTAATTTCAAATTTTTAAAAAATCCCGCCGGAGACGAAATTGGGTTGGCCGGAACACTTTAGTCACGGACTACATCCGTGACTAAATATCACATAAGAATCATTAGTAGTTGGATCCAATACATACAAACCAAACATGAAATCTAATACCAAATTGTTTAAATATAAAACTTAGAAAATAACAAACGAAATCAAGAATCCCTTAATTCAAGTAGCATAAAAGCTATTTAATTCAATGCAAAAAAAGAACAACTATGCAAAATAAATTATTTCGAAATTTGCTCAAAACATGAACAAAAACTCACTTCAAAATTTTTACGAACCGCTGGTGGGCATTAATATTTAGAAGATAATTACTCTAATGAAGCTATTAGATCATTACTAGTTAAATAGAATGATGAAGATGTTTCAATTAGATTATTGTTACCTTTAATGTTTTCAGCATTCAAATGGAGTCAGTTTTGGAAAGAATTTATAATTATTGAAATAAAGACAAAAAATAGAATGGAGAAATCCAGGTATGCAGGGAGCAAGAGCAACCGAGCAACATCGTGAGAGCAAGTGCAGAAGTTCAAAGATCTATAATAATTGGACTGAATGTTATAAAGAATTACAAAAATATTGAATGTACATGTACACTTAGGTGTATAGTATAATTTGGGATGATTTTGTGTAACATGTGTTGTGCTCGCGTCGCGATTTCTTATTTTGTACTACGTCTAATATACGGAGGAGTAAAAGGTATGGTCTCTCATTTGATTAATTTAGTTTATCTAATGCTTGATGTAGTGTTTCATTATCAATGCATTTGATTCATCAAGTAAATCTACTATATTTGAATTGTAGAAAAATTATATTTAAAATGTATTTTGAAACGAAAAAAATTGATTAAAATAATGTTCTACATAATTTTAGGCAATTCATTTGAAAAAGTAATATCAGTCTTACCTATTTCGATTAATACGCAATTCATCACGCGATATCAACATTACAGTACTCCCTCTGTCCCGAAAAGGTTTGCCAAAGTTGATTTTTACGTGGATTAATAAAGTAAAAACTGTATGGTTGAAATTTATGCAGATGATCGAGAATTAATTTTAACCACATATTCCTTACTTTAAATGGATATGACAAATCTTTTTGGGACATCCAAAAAAGGAAATTTGGCCAACCTTTTCAGGACGGAGGGAGTATTTACTAAGCATTAATAACAGTATTTTTAGGGCGAAGACATAAGAACCATTTTATTCTTAATCAATTATGGCACAATCCCGTAAGTAAATGTGTGTGTTATTACGGAGTATAAAATAGATGAGTACTTGATCTTCCCCATAGAATATTTATTACTTATTATTAGATGATACGATTAAATAAATTACAAAATGAAGAATACTTGATCTTAAGACTTCACAAGTACTTTACTAGTTCTCCCCTTAACCCATCCAGCAGCGTAGCAATGTGCAATTACATTATCAGCAACGAACTCAAACCACTTTCTTTGTTGAGTTATAAGCCCAGAAATTGGTCTTATTTTTGTTACATCTCCAAATCCTCCTCCGCCAATCTTGTGGGACACCATTGCGAGAACTCCTGCTAGCATACGACAATTCATTGTTTGAATATCTCTAAATATATCACTGTTGAAAAGACGAGCATACCTCCAAGTCTTTGCTTTTTCTGCCATCTCTTTACTCTCTTCACTGGGGAACTCATAATGGGTAAGTATATAAAGCACAGTTTCCAATGATTTACTTGTATTAGGATGCTCAAGCAAAGTGGCAAACTCACTGATGGGTGCATTTAATCTGGCGGAGCAATACAGCAACAGACTATAAGCATGAATGCCGACATAACACATCTGTACCTCATACAACATTTTGCACAGGTTTTTGTCTTTGCCTTCCAACTCTTGAAAAGCTAACAGAAATACTCCTACAGTATTTCGGAGAAGAGTTCTTGTCTGCAACAGATTCCTTATGCCAGCGATGCATTCTCGATCAGGTGTAATTCGAAATGCAATTTCATCTCGATAAAAGTTTCTGTATTGGTCACAGATATAATCCCATGCTCGTATAAGATTGTCCTCATCCTTGACAGCTAACCTCAGCAAAGCAGTGCACATATATGCACAGCACTTTTCGATATCCTTATGTGTCAGATGAGGAGGCATCTCAAACGGCTTACGATCAGTAGCTTAGCTTCTCTAATCACTCGAGCCTCCAAATTCTGCATTGGCTTTGGGGTGCAAGTCATCATCTTTGAATCAAAGAAAATAAGCCTTTTTTCATCTTCACATGAAGCCAATTGCCAAGCTACTGATAGTATTGCTCCTACAGAAGCAGCACTCACTGCATCAGTTAGTGCAGACATTGCCAACTTTAAAACAACAACTTTATTCCCTTCATTGAGATGTCTATAGCTCGACACTTCAAGAAACTCGAGAGTCTTGATTTCATCGTCCGACCAGTCTAGGCGATTAACACGTCCTGTCCCACTATACTCTAGCTTTTGGTACTTTTTCTTTATATGATCGCTCAGATAATCTTTTATAGCTATCCTTGGTCTCTCTTGATTCCCCTCATACAAGAGCATCTGTTTATCAGTCGAATTCCTCATAGCCTGCTCCTCTAGATCAATAGTATGGTTCTTGGTGCAAGGGGCGGTCCTATATAATTGAGAGTGGCAGATTATATAAAATAGGCTTAATCCAAAGAAATTGTAATCTTTTCCATCTAAATTAACATGCAAAATAATAACACTTCAATACCTTTACAATAATGAAAATACTTGAATTCGTTAAATAAGTGCTATCACACTTTCAAAATCATTTTTTGGCTGCTCACTACCAATTTTATAACTCTTAAATTTTCCCCTCCCGTGAAACCGTTTCATTTTCGGTAGCTAAAGCATTCTCCTCCTGTGAGTTCTCATCTTGAAGAGAACCTTCAAGAATTGACTTGTTCACAAAATAAACTTTTCCATTGAACCTTTTTTATTTAGTGTTGTTTTCTCTAATCTTATTTCCATCATTTGCAATGGAGCCAAAAATTCATTATTTTTCGACTTGAGATTATGATGGAATAAAGCAAAATGGCTCACTAAACTGTCTGCGCTTCTTTGTTATGGAGCAGCAGTCAGTCCATGCAATTTTGGACGCGATTTTCACTATGTGTCATCCAAAAACAATCTCTCTGTTCTTTAGTACAGGGGTAAGACTGTGTACATCCGACCCCCCTTACCCCACAGTAGGTGGGAGCCTTTGCGACACTGGGGTAAATGAAAATGAATGAAATGAATGAATGAAAATGTTGTTTTCTCTAATCTTCTCCTCTCTTTTTTCTCCAATCCAGATTCAGCTATTTTTATTATAATTGAAATTTTATAACTAACAAAATAAACAAAATATAACTCTCAAAAAAAATCAATAAAATATAACATCAACACTCAATAATAACAATCAACAATTAAGAATATGAATTGACGCTCAACATCCAAACAACAGACTAATTATTTTTCAACTATTCATAATCATTTATAAACATGAAACAACCATGAATTAAATCAATTTATCCATTCATAAACTAATCAAATAATCATATATTCATTTTAACAGGGCCAGCCTTAACAAATTGAAGGCCCTGTTCAAAATAAAATCAGAGGCCCCATTATTCAATACCAAAACAATGCTAATGGTAAATAAAAACTTATAGTTTGTACCACATATCAAATTTTATAACAATATACAGTACTTTTTGGATAGTATCAACTCTCGAGTTATTTTGTCTACAATTTTTCATATCCTGTATTTTCTGGATAGTAGTTTCTGATTCTATAACTCTTAGAAATTCAATTTTTCATATTAATCTAGTATCAAAACAGTTCTTTTGTCTACAACTCTTGGATAGTATTTTCTGATTATAGGAGTCATTATGAATTTCTAAATTCTGTCGGAGTAATTTAAAACATGTAGAAGAATTCAAAATTAAAAAGTAAACAATAATCGTATAATCAACTAAAGGAAAAGTGGGAACAAAATAAAAACTTGAACAAGTAGTAGGGCTTTTAGCTTTTGCTACCTTGCCGAGTTATCGGTAGCTATCCAGCCTATCCCTTGTGGCCCTAACAACCTCGCTTCTGGAATCTGGCCGGCGGCCGCCTTGGCTAGTTGTAATCGCCTTCACAATTCGTAGGTCTCTATGGCAGCCACGCAAGTCAGAAGTGGCAGCCACCCAACATATGATGTTTCAAGGGATCAAAATTTCATAATGAAAGCTGCCATCATTTGGACCATTAGTGACTTCCCTGCCTATGGCATGCTTTCGAGATGGAGCACACATGGTCTTATGGGATGTCCGATATGCATGGAGAAATCAGGTGCCAATTGGCTAACTTTCAGTAAAAAACCAAGCTACTTTGATTGTCACCGCAAGTTTCTCCCGGAAAACCACCGATATCGAAAGGACAAAAAGTCTTTCATTAGAGGTAGAGTGGTACGAGACACCCGCCCCCGAGATTGACCGGGGAAGCAATTTTTAACCGGATTCGACGTATTCCTACGGTTATGCAAGAACCAAATAAGAAGCCATATGGGTTTTGTGATACCCATAAGTGGACAAAGAGGAGTATCTTTTGGGAGTTACCATATTGGAAAGACCTTCTCATTCGTCACAATATAGATGTCATGCACACTGAGAAAAACGTGTTTGACAATATATTTAACACAGTGATGGATTTCAAAGGCAAAACTAAAGACGGTCTTGCATCTCGAAAAGATATGACTATTTGGTGTGATAGGCCCGAACTATCTGTTGATCTAGAATATCAGGGCAACAATATTCCAAAAGCAGTCTACCAAGTCACACAAGCACAAAAAGAATCAATATTACAATGGCTTGTGTCTCTGAAGTTTCCAGATGGCTACTGCTCCAACTTGTCTAGATGCGTGGACATGGACAAACTTGCAACGACGTCGAGCATGAAAACTCACGATTGTCATGTAATCATGCAAAAACTTCTCCCAATTGCACTGAAAGAGATGCTTCCTGAACACGTATGGTCCTGCATTACTGAGATCAGTTTGTTGTTTCAGTCGATATGCTCAAGCGTTTTGGATGCAGCATCCCTCTGTAGACTATAAGAGTCTGTTCCCATGCTGATGTGTAATTTGGAAAAGATAATGCCTCCATCATTTTTCGATGGAATGGAACATCTTGTAATACATCTTCCGTATGAGGCTTTAAATGGTGGACCCGTCTTCTATCGCTGGATGTACAGATTTGAAAGGTTAGTCACAATTTCATTTATCTTTGAATATTTATTTCATAACAACATTAATCTGTGTACCACTTTTATTTTACTTTGCAGATTTCTTGGAGAGTTGAAAAAGAAAGTGACCAACAAGGCACACGTTGAGGCTTCAATTTGTCAAACATATCTTCAACAAGAAATCTCAACGTTCTCATCTTTTTATTTTGAGCGTGAAGTCATCACTAGAAGAAAGAGACCTGCCCGAAACGATGACATCGGCGAGGATTTATATGAAAATGTAGTTTCCATTTTCAATTACCCAGGTAGAGGCCGGTAAAGGAGCTTGGACAAACCGATACATCGTGGGAAAAGAATTACAAATTGCGCATACTTATATGCTCATTAATTGTCCAGAAATCTTACCGTTTTATCAGTAAGTTAAATTTGTAGTTATCTTTGTAATATATATACAATTAAGGTAGTTGATTTATAATATTTTCATGTTTGACTTCACAGTGAATTTAGAGCGGAGTACTCAGCATTCCCTGACAATGAAATTGATGCATTGGTGGACTCTCATTTTATACCGTGGTACAAGCATCAGGTATATATACATACACACACATTAATTATTTATATTATTAAGTAATAATATTTAATAATTACCCAATGTTATCGTGTTTTAATTTACAGATCAATAACCGTGGGATTGTGGACCCTTTGTTAGTATCATTATCGTGGGGCCCTGGTGCTTACGCCAAAGTTTGGCGGTCATATGTGATAAACGGTTACACCTATCACACAGTCGGTTACGGACAGGGCCGACCAACAGTGAACAACGGGTTATGTGTCCCAACCATCGGTTATGATAACTCGGAAACCAATTTTTTTGGTGTCTTGCACGAGATTCTCGAACTGGAAATGCCTTCTGCTGGGAAAAAGTTGACATGCGTTTTGTTCCGCTGCAAATGGATCGATCCAACACGTGGTGTGCGAAAAAATTCAAAGTATAATATGATTGACGTCAACCACTCTCGCGTGTATACGAAAAATGAGCCTTTTATACTTGCTCAACAAGCAGCCCAGATTTATTATACAGAATACCCTTCAACCAGGCGGACACAGAATCCTTGGGTGTGTGCATGTACTGTTCGTCCGAGCAAAATTGTATCACAAACTCAACACAAGGACGTTGATTTAGATGCTTTTCAGCAACATTTTTTCCAACCTCCACCGATTGTTGAGACGGTCAACCAGCACATTCAGCTAAGTGATCCAAATGGGGGAAGTGTTGAAGTCATGCCAGAAACGCACCTTCCGGGCCTAATAACTCCATCTGAGCGCGAAATTATTGAAATGCATGAAGAACAACAAATTGCTCATTATCAGGAAGAAGGAGAATGGATAGACGATTCTGATACAGAAGAAGATGTTGTATATGTAGAAAATAATGACTCTGATAGTGACTAATTGTATTGTTGTATTACAATTTTTTTGAGTTCGAATATTTGTGCTCTTTTCTTCATTATTATTGTAGTCCAACAATATTTGATTTTTTTCTTCATCATTATTAAAAGATAAGTACGAAACACACAATTTTTTTATCACAATCAACTAACGAAACATTAATCATTTATCATAATAACCAAACAAACAAATACAAAATTATTCATCAATATCAAAACTTTCAAGAGGCCTAGCCAACAACTCGTTAATTTTCCTTTCAGCTTCTTCGTTGATCGGATCCATATACTCCGAACATTCTTCTGCACGTTGAAGCATCCGACACAAGTTGTTTGCTTTTGACTTGCCGAGTGAGTCGGATTCCTCATCTTTATAGTCGCCATAACTTTCAAGGGGTCTAGCCATCAACTCCGTGATTCTCTGGTATGCTTCAACGGTTTTCGGCTCCATAAGCTGTGTAATTAGCTTGAGTCGTTGCATAGCTCTGCACATCGAATCTCAGTCAATTGGTTCTCGATTAGCCATTTTTTTTCACAAACATTGGACCGGGCATCATCTATTTATACTCAAAAATCGAATATAATAAAGTCGAATTTATTCCACTGTCGCCGGCCTGCCCGAGGAGTTGGCAGAACGGATGGAAAGTAATTAGTCACGGACGGGTCCGTGACTAGATCCGTGAATAATTCAAAAATCGGACATGTCCGTGACTAGTTCCGTGACTAATTCAAAATTTTTGAATTAGTCACGAACCGAGCCACGGACCCGTCCGTGACTAAGGCGGTCAAAGGTGGCCGTGACACCTCATCTGCCGCGCGTCTGACTTCGTTATTTACGTCGGCTAGTCACGGATATATCCGTGACTACGTCCGTGACTACGCATACATATAAAATCAACACTTAGCTGATTTTTCATTCCGCATACTCTCCAACCCGGCCAAAACCCTACATCTTTAATTTCTCCCTAACTCTTCTACACTCCACCGATCTCAACCTCCAACTCCGCCCTCCGCCGTTTGCTACCGCCAGTTGCTGCCGCCGTTCGCTGCCGCCGTTTGCTGCCACCGTCTTCTGCCACTGTCGACCGCCTCCTTCGTTTTTCATAAAGGTTATGTATTCTAAATTTTATTTACCTTTAATTCTTATTTTTAGTATTTGATTTTTATTTCAAAAATGCATGTTACGATAAGTGTGTTCCCAGTATTCTCAAATTGTTTAATATGATTTAGTTAATATGCTCAAATTGATTTATGTATATTTAATTTGATTTCAGTACATGTTATAATTTGATTTTAGTTAGTATCTCAAATTGATGCATGTGGAGTAATATGATTTCGAAATATAATTTCATTTAGTTTATAATATTCCTTTAATTTTAGAATTGAAATACATGTTAATATAATGTAGTTTTCGAAATACTTGTTTTCTGTACATGTTATTAAATTCATTTTTGTATACATGTTATTAATTAATATTATAAGCACACGTTTTTTTCGAAATACATGTTATAAGCACACGTTTTTTCGAAATACATGTTAATATATTCAGTTTATTACATGTTTTATATGCTCAATATAACATGATTTAGTTTGTATATATGTTTAATTGGCATGCCTATATTTGTTGTGTATAAGTTTAATTAATATGTATGCCTAAATAAGATTTAATTGTAGGTTAAACATGCATGATTAAACATTATCTTTTTTAATTTTGGACTTATGAATTAAAGAACATGAGTTAGTTTAATTAATATGTATGCCTAATTACATTATATTCTCAAATTAATTAAAGAAATACCCCCTCGTGTTAAACCTCCAAAAATGTTTAACATGTTAATTATAAAATATTAAGTTAGACATTAAAAACAGTTTTCTAAAATTTAATATAAAATATAGACTATGAAAAAACATTGTTTAATAAATAAACCGTTTTAATTAAAAAGTTTTCCCGAAGTAATTAAAAAAATACCCCCTCATGTCAAACTTCCAAAAAAGTTTAACATGTTAATAATTATAAAATATTGAGTTAGACATTAAAAACAGTTCTTAAATTTAGTATAAAATGTAGACTATAAAAACACAATATTTAATAAATAAATTGTTTTAACTGTTTGAATTTAAAATTTTTAGTGAATTAATTAAAAAAATACCCCCTCATGTCAAACTTCCAAAAAAGTTGGGCATGTCAATTACTCCCTCCGTCCCCCTGATATTGGGACGGAAGGGAGTGGTGTGATTTTTAAGAAAAGTAAAATTATGTGGTTGATAATGAGTTGATAAAGTGGAAATAAAGTAAGAATGAATTAGAGCCACACAAATGTTACCAAATATGATATGGGACAATAATAGAGAGACATCCAAAAATGAAAAAATGAGATAATTATAGGGGGACGGAGGGAGTATAACATATTGAGTTAGACATTAATATAGAATATTCATTATACCAAAAAACTGTTTTTACACAAAACTGTTTTTATGTTTTTTATACAACTGTTTTTTATACAACTGTTTA